AAACTCAAGAGATCTGCAGGTTCTTTCTAACGAGCCAGCATTACAAATATAGGTGGAAAAAGAAACCTTCAATCCACGTACTTAGCGTACCTCAAACTAAACCCAACCCTTCCATGCCATCCCATAACTTGATCCGTTTCAAGAGACCGTGTCAACCTCTTTCTCAGAATTTAAAAACTTGATCAAAATCTTACAGATGAACGGAGATTAAACTATGATTTGCTTCTCCAATTACATATAAATATAATCAAAATATGGAATTGTCAACCTAATAATGGAACCACTAATTGTTTATGGCCTCATGCTATATTGAGCCACTTATTATAAGGGCTCATAAGCACTTGACCTTGATTGCAGTCTTCATCAAAATGGATTTCTTGTTGGATCTTGCTCGCTGAATGTAGCATTCAAGGACTCCATCTAGGAAAGATACCTATTGGAACATTTTGGAACACTGGATAAGTGATATTCTTTCTGTTAACAGGAGGATTCACTAACCTCCAGACATCATGGTATAGTTAGCAGTGAACTCCAACATTGATGGTCAAGGAGGGAGTCCAACAAACTAGATAAATGTCTTCAGTCTCAATAGGGCATGACTAACAAGTGCCAAAAAGAAACACATGAAAAACTTAACAGTTAAGCCCAAGCAAAACGTGATAGTCCAACTCTAAGCTTATCAAGAAAAATTACTAACTATTGTTCTTTGAGTGTTTCTTTTAATCAGATGTATGTTTTTTAAGGATAGGGTAGAGAACTGTTCACTCTGCTATTGTTTTCAAGTGATTTAAAGGTTTATTTTACATCGGAATGGATTATCAACTCATATGACTAGCATGAATATAAATAGGAACTCGTATCAGAAAACAAGACACCACATACACCAGTTGCCTCCATTCTCAGTGAGACAACCTAAACTGGTTTTCAAATCAAAGACTTATCAGCTTTTGTATCATGTACATTAACTTTGTAGACTAACATGGTGACACTAAATGCAATTTCAAAACTCAGAAGGTTGAAATCATACTGTTTACTAATCTCTTGAGATATAAAATTTACAAGCATGAAACCCATTTGGAATTTTGGATCATTTATCCAGTGAGTTGGTAGGAATTTGAAATGTTAGGGAATTAATCTAACTATGATTACATGTTCTTTTATATTGTCATTGATTTATGCACCTTTTATTTTTACTCGTTAAAGATGTGCATTCTTAGTCCCTATACTTGCAACTAATGTGGACAGCTGAATATAGTTGCATAACTAAGTCATGGAATTCAGTAAACAAATTGAATGATAAACATTAACTAGTAATCTATAAAAACACATACCTTGGAAGGAATAATTTCTAATCCCTACTATAGTGGTTCCCCCTAGAGAAGCAAACAGTTGATGAACTAAACTGATTTTTCTATCTATTGAATAGATGAAAATAAAAGATATAAACATTAAAAACTACAAAGTTGCTGAAAAATTTTCTAAAGTAAAGCCACTTTTCCAGAATCAGATGGACTAAAGCATACAAAATTACAACTCAGCACAAAATGAACTCTGTATTTGATTAGATCGAGTTTAGTTAGCCTAAACTCTTTTCTTTTCATCAATCCTATCTTATATCTAAGTTGCAAGTTTAGAGTGTAATGTGCTAGCATTTATGGTAGAATAAAACTAATTAAGAAATAGATTGAACAATTTATCTGTATGCAAAACAAATCTTAGAAATTTAGAGTCTGAGGGAACCAAGATAACAACTAATGCTCTTACTCAGACCACTGGACTTTACAATGGAACACTTTGCACCCAATACAAAATTTAGCTCAAGATCTGCATGAATACCCAATCATACAACACCACATGGTTCACTTTAATTAAAATATGGTTCCTGGTCAAGGTAATTACTAAACCATCAGCATGATCATCAAAGTGACACTATGTCTTGTAAGTTCCAAAGTAAAGAACTTAGGAATATCAAGAAATCCTATGAAGGCATTTTGTTATTACTATTTACCAATTCTTGGCCATGTTCAAAAAAAGAATTAAAAAATAAGAAAAATAATCCATTCTCTTTATAGTAAATGTTTGGAATCATTATATAAGCATGACACTTTTAGATGCTTCAGTAAGATAAAACATTAAGTGGAGATTGAAGCAAATTAGGAGTAGAATTGTTTGGAAGCATCTCTTTATGCACAACATTTCACATGAACTAGCTTCTCTATAACCTTCTTTCATTATTATTAATGAAGCCAGAAATTTCAGGTAACAGCCTGAGAAGAATTCATACTGTTAAATGAACCGATCTCATTTCTACCATTAAGAGCAACACACTTATCATTAAACATCAACATAGAACATTTATCTATCAATCTTGTACCATCATAAGCTTCTTTAATGAATATAGTGCTCCTCGCAACTTTATTTGTAATGTAAAAGATACTATGATGTTTTATCAAACAAAGCACTAATCAGATGGTAACAGGTGCTCTAAATGAAATGCATCCAATTGTGCAGATGCCATCCGCTTCTCCATAGTAAAACTGACGAGTTCATGAAGCACAACCACCACTCTGTTCCGAGCTTTCGGATCTGCAACATCAAATCCCCTCCCATTCAAGTATGGAGAAGGGAATTCCATTTTCTGCCACCTTTGAAGCTCCTTAAGATAACTCTTATTCGGTCTAAAACCAGAAACAAAGCACATGTTAAATGCAAATGGACCTAGATAGTTACCATCTTTCATGATCCTAACCTTCTTCAGACCCCCAGCTGACGCCAACACCCCTTCACATGAGAATCTCTCCTCACAAGCGGTCACTGCCAACGAAGAATCCCTGTTCTCCAAGTTAAGATAAGCTCTACCATTGAAACCTTTGATCGAAAAATATTCTGGGTACTTCAAAATCAACTATTTCTTAAAATCCTTGCAAACCAAGTGCACTTTCAATGAATTTAACCTTTTCCAATGGCATCCTACAATCAATCAACAGTATTAACAACTTCCTAAGATTCTTAACCAAAATGGGTTTCATTAAATACCTTGCTTCAGCCCCTTCACTTGCAATCATTTTGGATTTTCGAGTGAGCGTAACAAAAGCGAGTTGTTTTCCACTACCACCACCAACATGGAATATCGAAGGGTACTTCTCAATGATGGACATGAAGTTCCATTTTGCCACAAACCCAACTTCCTTTTCAAGGTCGAGAAGAAGAAGGCATTGTTGGTTTTGAGATTGGATAATGGACTTCAATTCCAGAATTAAAGATGGTTTCTTTTACAAGTCCATGACTTTATCAAGTTGATAGTCTCTGTGGTAAATTTTCTTCTTTGGCCTCTTTCCTTTGATATTTGCCTCGCTAAAACAAACATAGAATCTGACTTTTTACAAGAAATTGTTGAAGATGACAACCTTAATATGGATCTTGTTTTCATTCTCAAGCAATATAAAAAGACAATCCTTTACTGAGCCAAATCCTCGAACAGTTGGTGTGCAAAGACCAAAACCAATGCTTAACAGATTAAAACCAAACCCAGATACGAGAAACAAATTTACATCGACATACTCATTGTGGGATTGGAGTTTGTGTTGAAAATCATATCCGGGTTTTCTATTGTAGAAGAAGAATCGTTTTATTCAATGCTTTCAAAGTAAAACCCCGAGGTTAAATAAGAAGTACGTAAAGATACGGTTCCAGTTATTAGTTCTAAGAACATATCTTTATATTTTCATGAGTGCTCATGGGATGTTTAATTAGAATTACTATTATGACTTTTCAATTTTGATTAAACAAAATGTTTAAATGTTAATTTCATGTTTTTATTTATATTTCGTTTTAATAATTATACATAAGTAAAATTTTCAAACATTTAATATGAATAAAAAATAAATTTAATTAATGTTAGTTATAAATATATAAATACTGTGACCAATATTTTATTAATGTAATGTGAAAATTCAAATTGAGTTGGTATATGTTTCGATACCAATTATAGTAATTCGGATATAATTATTATTAATCTAATAATATTTTCAACTTAAATAACGTGATTTTTAAAAATTAAGAATTTAAATTATTTACAGTGATCTATTTATATTTTTATAAAAATTTTAATAATTACATTGATATTGTTTGCAAAGAAGAATAAAGGAATTATTATGCTAAAAGACTTCATTTCTACTGCATTCAACCTCTTGGGGACAAGCAATTCAATGGCAGTGACAAAAAGAGAAGGTGATATAGGATCAGCCTATCGAAACCCACAACATTTGCTCATTGTGCATGGTACTTCCAAGTACATTTTTAATGAACTTTGGCTGTCTTTACCTTCCCTTTTTATTCAACATATGAGCAGAAGAAAGCTCAGTAACTAGATAGTTATAATCATGGTACGAATGCTTATACATTAAAGCAGTCTTCAAAAGCACCCATCAACATATGGTGCTCATATTTCATCACCTTCAAACCACCCAAATGCATTCTTAGGCATCATGTTATCTACTTCTATTTGAATTTAATAAGCTATGTAGCCAATATTTAAGCTACCTGGTCATTATAACACCAAGACAGGCCCAGATATTATATTGTCCTAGACAGCAAAGCACGACTTACAGAATTTGGATGCGGGTGTTCCTCTCTGCCCACCCCTGTCCACCCTCTCTTTCGGTTTACAAAAACAAAAACCATATCTAATTCCCAGTTTTCACACTAGCATTACTGTCATTTCATCCACTATAATAACACACTATTTATATGCATTAAAAGTGAAATGTTCAATGTGGTGTAAAAATATGTAGGGAATAAAGATGTTATACATAAACAAATGTGCAAAATCAAAATGTGTTGCAGTTGCAAGGACAAAAATTAATGACACAACAAAACCATGCTCTACTTTGTTACCAGCCTAACCTACATATAAGCTTTCTGTACATTCCTCAGCGTAGCACTACCAATTACTTGTTAGTTGAAGTTGAAGATTAATCATCCATCTTTTTTTTTTTTTCTCTATCCCTTCAAATACATCTGTTTGTATGTTTCATCTGCAAAATTTAAGAAATTCGAGGTCAAAACTGCATTTTAAATTTTGGCAAATAATAACTCTTTCATTTTCCAAATTTCTAACATGTTGTCACAAACTGTTTCAAGATATTTTTCACAATCCAAGCAATTCTTGAGTGTTCATTAACACTAAAAACTCCATGATTACTTGCACTAGAACCTAGAATAACAACCCACCATTGCAGCACCTAAAAAAATATTTCCTACTTGTCAGTATTTAGAGGGTGGCTAAAACTTGGTCTAGCACTATAGCTTCCTAATGTTTTTCATCTTAGGGATATTTTCCCAATACTCCAACATTTGCCACACCTAGGTCAATTCAAACATGGAGACTCTATGTAAGACTTCAACACCTATGTTTTTCAGTATTTAAAATGATGCTGCTCCATTGTATACTAATATGAATCAATTAATATTTCTAAGCAATTTAAGAAAGATACTGAAATGGTAGCCCTTGAGGCACCTAATGGGATTATGACTACAGGAACAGAGTATGACCAAGGTAACACAGAACTATGCGTTCTAACTTAAGCTGTGGGCTGGTATGAATTCATCTTCACTCTTAGAATTACAAAACACACCATGTCAACCTATTTCAGTTAAGACAATACCATATCCATTCAGTTATCATTCTTATAAAAAACAAAATAGTTTCTAAGACCAAACAGGTTAATCGAGTCATAAAATTGGCACCAACAAAGTAATCAAGAGGCCAAATTTTGGATTCCTCATTCCAAAAGTTTGGGTTTGCTCCCTTCTTCAGATTATGCTTAGACTCTCAACATTTTCTCATGTAGCCCAACTCATTTTTCTATGTACCTTTTTTTTGAGAATCCATGTTCTATGAACTTGAATATGTTAAAATTATAAGTCTCCAAAATTATGCACCAAATAAAGCACAATTTTTCATGTATCACATTAGAGTCATACCACATTAATCACAATGCGGTAAGAGCTCCCCTCAAGATTTTGGTTCTGATGGGCTGGGATGTTCCAAGTACAACTGCACACCCAGAGGTTCACTGTTCATTGACTTGATAGGGGTTATTAGTGGAGGTTGTTGCCACTGTTTTGTGTCAGTTGAGATCCACAACTCTGTGTCCTTGCAATTACTAACCTGAGGAAGGGAACGGAAGTAAGCCGTGATCTCCCACCTGCAATCTGTTAAATAAAGAAAAGGACAAGAGATTGACCTTAACCTCTAAGCCATAATAGGAAAAGAAACATCACAACATAGTTAAATGATGCAGCAAGCCAGCAAAAAAACAGCCCTGAAGATCAGGTGAATTCAGTAACTATATTTCTAAACTCTCACTTAGACCAAATAAACACATGTTCCGTTTGATAAATTATTACTAGTTGAGCTTACCACATGGAAGAACCTTTGTAAGGGGTTGGGAGACTGAAAGTTTAACTAAGAATGATCTAAGGGAGAATTCTAGATCACTTTCTTCCACCTTTGAGTCAAAAGATTGATTAACTGCTAGTTTGAACATAAATCTCTCCACTGGAATGTTGTCAGTGTTGAAAAAGATAACAGCAACTCTCTCCACCAGGCCCTAGTTTAAAAGACATGTAAACTTCAGTTTAAGATGTGTCACACAGGTATATTGAAGTTATCATGCAGCACAAAGCATCTCTACAAATGCTCAGAGGTTTCACCACCAGAGAATAAAAATAAACAAACTGCCTTCAATAATGAAAAGACAAAAACTGGGGCAAATAAGATTGACTGAAATAGAAAAGAACAATTACTGCAGATGTGCAGCCCCCACATGGGATTTCAACAGCAAGTTCTCTGCACCTCAGTAAGTCCTATCAGAATGTGAATATCTAACCAATTCCAGCCAGGGTTTAGTTTTTATGCTAAGGCCCTATTGATATTCAAAAATGACATGATAAAATTAAAAATTCACACCCTCTAAAAATATTTGCTGAATTTCTGCAATAAAATTTTACGTTCATGTATTCCCTGCATTAAGTTGCATTTTTGTGACTTTGCTCATCTAGCAGATGCTGACTTTTGAATCATAGAGAGCGATTAGCATATTCACTTAGACATACACAAATCAAGGACTCCTAAAACCTTCAAACCAAAATATCCACTTTGTTAAGCCATTTGTTATTCTCTAGAATCATAACTGCCTCTAATAAAGCCATTGATTTAATAAATCAGTTTGCTTGGACTAGCAGAGTCATGACACTCAATTAATGTGTCAGAAACATCATGGCATTTGCGTCTCTTTATTTATTTTTATTTGGTAGATATAACAACAACATACTTTGTTCCTTTTTCCTTTCAAATAGATAAATAATAAGACCTCAAAATTTCATGTCACTTTAATAAACTTTAGCGAAGTGTTTTGATTTCCTTACTAAATCAATCATCCCTAACAAAGTCATAAGAATATTACATTTGTTTAATACCACAAAAAAAGTTTGATATCTCTTCACTTTGTCTTCATAAAATCAATATGAGGGATACTGCAAAGAATGGCATCATCACAGCACTAGAACACAACATGCTGCAATGAAAACATATGCAATTCAATTTTTATCCCAAATGAAAAGCATATTTAACAGCTAACTCAAGCAACATGGAACATACACATTTCCACATGGCATCCTGAGAACTCTAACTAAATCAAGTCATCACAAAACATTGCAAAACACCCTAAAACATTAGCAAGCAGTACTCAAACATCTACGAAAGAAACCAACCTTTTCGATGAAAGGAAGAAGTCCAGAAACCGCAGAATGGATATAATCTCTTAGCTGAGGATGCCGTGCCCTCTGCACTACCACATTCATATACCTCCTCCTCTCAAAAGCACCTTCAGGATTGCACCCAACACAAGTTACAGACATAACATTTACATAAAATTCATAAAAACAAAAAAAAACCCAGACACACAATATGTATATAATATACTGCCAAGGTAACACCTCAACTATTAGAACTTGTGACTTTCAAATTTAATCACTTTATGCCTAAAAAAAATTTCCTTCGAGTCTAAATTACAAATCATATGATATAAATGTGTAAAGTACAAAACACTAATTTAAAATTAAAAATTATATAAACATCAAATATTTGAGAACTACCCAATTGCTCCAACTGTCACTCTTTTACTAATTAATAACTGAGTAATCCACCCATTCACTCATATATTTTAGGATAAGCATTCCCCCCTACACCCCCCACTCCACAAAAAAAAATCTTTTTTTTTAAATTTTAACACAAATTTATCAGTGGAATTTGGTAAAAGAATATAAAATTCTTATAGAAACCCAAGAGTGAAAAGAATTAAAACAAATAATATACCGGGAGAATAAATTCCTTTAAGGAAAACAACTGAAGTGATTGCTACCTCCAAGAATTCAACCAAAATCCCAGCAATATGGCCTGCGGTAAACATAAAGAAATTTGCTTCAAAATGATAAAGAAAATTTACAAAGGAAACCGAAAAAAAGAAAGAAAAATCCAAGTAAAAGCGAGGAAGAGTGTACCTCGAGGAGATTGATTATCTTTACGTTCCATTCTTCCACCGAAAGGACCAGCAATAAAAGGGTTTCAGTAGTCTTGCTCTTGGCAATTAAATTTAACGCATTTTAAAGGGAAGAAGAGAAAAGATAATTTACACAAGTTACCCCTAAACTTTGACTTTTAATAAGACTGTCTTTAGACTTTCGACAATCAAAATTTCAATTAGGACCAATTGAGTCCATTCATTACCATAAATTTATAATAAATAGCAGGCATAATATTTAAAAGTACTCTTAAATTAAAATAAATTTTTATTTTTTTATTATATGTAATCGAAGTCTGTATTTTTATTTTAAATTAAATAAATTTTTATAGTTAAAGTTTGAGTAATTGATATTAATTAAAATATTACGTTCACTAGGCGTTGATATGAAAAATAAAAAATATTATTTGATTATGTTATCTTATCATGTCATATCATTATTTAGTATAATATGTTAGCACCATATTTTATAAAAAAGATAAATGTTGTTTTAAATAATGACAATAAATTATGAAAAAATATTTGATCTTAAATTAAAATATTAATAATTAATTAAACATAACAAAAAATAAAAATTTATTTAAATTTTCTTAAATAAGGTAAAAAAATTTTGAATTTTATATCAATAATAACAACTACCATTTATTTTTCCTACGATTATAAAATTTGAAGTTAATTGTTATGTTAATGTCATAATTAATTTGATTTTATAATTTATACAATTAAATTAAAATTTATAAAAAAAACATTATATTATATATACATTATGAAGTTTAAACGAGAAAATAGAAAGAAAAAGTGTAGCTTAAAAAAGCTTTAAAGAGAAAAGTAAGAATGAAAATAAAATAAATGTTGGTAAAATAATGGTATTAGTATAAAAATAAATGTGCTAAACATTTACTAAAGCTTACACATTGAAATAACTTTGTATTCTTATATTATTCATTAAAATTGGTATTAATTCATCAAAAATAATTGTTACTTAAAGAGCAAGGATCATATCAACTCTATCATTAAAATAGTTTTTAAATATAAAATTTTAAGAGCATTAAACAACAAAAGAATTCAATAAAAGGAAAGTAATGTATTTGCACTTAATATTCCTACTGGATATTTTTAAAATATATATAGGACTATTATCCTATCAATTTTATGTAAAAATTTTAAATTCTACAAGTGAAATTAAAATGTTGACACATATTTTTTATTTATTATATTAATTTGTTAATTGTTTTAATTATATCTTAATAAAATATGTGAAAACTGTCTAATCTGTTGGCGAAATTTACAAACTTCACTGAGATAATTTTCCATTTATATGTATAAAGTAACCTTATGATATAATTTTTTAATTAAATTTGAAGTAAAAAATAATTACACTATATTTAATGAAAAATCAGATTAAAAGAATTACCTAACCCAAAACGACTTGGACTATCAACTATGGGCTGAAAAAGATTAGCCGCCCATACTAGAAACTTCTATATTTTTATATTTCAATTCTTTTTTTGTTTATTTTTGTTTTCCAGAGAATTTTTTGGGTTTATTTATTTGAATCTAAAAATTAAAAATTCAATTTAAAATTAATAATGTACAAATATTTCATCTTTGCAGTTCAGTACATGCCTTTACATCAGTTTTAGTCAGAATGAAAAAAAAAAAGAAAACATTAAAAAATAAAAACACAAAAACTAAAATCCATTCTAACCTAAAAACAAAACATTAATATTTACAGAAAATTTACGAATGAACAACATTACAATCGAGCAACTTAAAGTTGGTCGGCGCGTTAGGTCCACGAAGCTTAACCGCCGCCTGATCATAAGCCACAGCCGCTTCTTCCGCCGTATCGAAAGTGCCCAACCAAAGCCTCATCCTACGCCCATCCCTAATCTCTGCCGCCCATCTTCCCCACGGCCTCTGTCTCACCCCTCTGTACCTCTTCACCTTGCCTTGACTCGGCCCCGCGATGACGTCGTTCTCCTTCGTCGACATTCCTATTGTGATTTCGTTGACGAGCTTCTTCTTGGGTAGGTTTTGGTTTCTTTTCGGTGACGTCGTTTCGTCGTCGCTGGAAGAGTCGGTGGCGTCGGCGTCGGTTACGGTAATTCGGACAATTCGGCGGCGAAACGGTTGTTGGGGTTTTTGGTTCGGCAGCGGCGGCGACGACATAATTTTTGGGTTTTCTTTTTTTTTTTCTCTTTTATGACAGAGAGGATGAATTTTGGTTTCGTATTTAAACTTAATTTTCTGTTGGAATATTCTTTGAAATTAAACTCCTATATCCTTTTGATATCGAGAAATATTAAATGATTTTTGTACTTATTACGTGGCATTTCGTCTGATTTTTAAATGCCACGTCTTTTCTTTACGCAAAATTTCTTTTAAAAAATTCATAATACTATTTGTCTAATTAAATAATTGAATTAAAAAGAAATAAGGTAAAGATTTTCAAAATAAAACTAAGAAAAAAAAAGTCCAAAATGAAGTCATTTAAAAGAGATTTTAATAAATTAACTTTCTTTATTATTGTTAATAAAGAGCATTTTCCATGCTTATAACTTCTGCAATTTTAGTGACATTTTCTGAAATGAATAATTTTTTTTTTCTTTTTGTAGTTATAGCATGATTAAGGTTCATTGGTCAAATCACTATTCTCTTGAATTTTTTTTTGTGTGTACATAATAAAAACATAGGATTTAAGTTTAAAAAATTTAAAGCACAAATGTAGTAAAATATTTGAAAATTTGTTTTTAATAATTTTATAAATTTTCTTTTCAAAAAAATAATTTTTTAATTTTATAAAAAAAATTTTAAAAAAAATTTTAAATTTAATTCTTAATCATAGTAATCATTACCATACGATATATGATATATATCGTATGATACGATATAATATGATATTAATAGAAAATGATACGTATTTATAATTATATTGCATGTCATCAAGTATCAAAAATGTATAATAAGATATGCGATACATATCTTAAGATACGAGACGTATTATATGATATAATCGATATATATTTTTTAAATTTAATTATAATTAATTATTAAAAATTTTATTTTTTATTATTTTTTTAAGTTGAAACATAAAAAATTATATTTTATGCGTTTCAATTTTTAGATTTTAAACAAAAATATACTTTAAAATTATTAAATTCCCTTTTAATTTTAACATGAAAAATATTTTTTAATTTTTAATTAATAAATTAATATGAAAAAATGTATGTTTTATTTAAAATCTATATTATTAAGGATTATGTTAAAAGTTTAAATTAAAAAAATAATCATCTTTTTAATTTACGACCTATAATATTCAATTCTGTTAAAAAAATAATATTTTTCAATTCTTTTCTTTATTTTACATGTATAAATGTTATTTATAATTAATTTTAAGTTTGTTTATTATATCTTACGATATAATACGATACTCATACTAAAAAATAAGATTTTAATACACAAAACATATTTCAATTTAACAACTTTGTTCCTAGCCACTCGAGGTAGCAATTAGGCATATTTGTGTTAGGCTACTTTTAGGTTTGGGTTTACTCTTTATTCTAATTATTTCGAATTCAAATCATTTTGGATTCGAACTATTTTTACTTGAGTTGTCTCGAGTTTGAATCATTTCAAACTTCAATCATTTTAAATTCAGACAATCTTGAGTTTACACAAGTTTTGAATCATTTAAAGATTCGCAGAAGGTATATGTCGTATTTTTATAAATTTTATTGATATATTTTCAAAATAAAAAGTTATGTCTCTTTATATGTGAAGTTAAATTTTTTTATATAAAAAATTGTGACTATTTGAAAATTATATCAATAGAAAAGTTATGTCACATAATGTGATATAGTGAGATTATTAGATTATAGGTAATTTTTTATGTGGAAAGTTATGTGTTTGGTACAGTGATATATTGGAAAAAGATCTTTAAATCCAAAGATTATAACTTAATTGAAAAACAACACTATTTAAAAGTTTTGATATGAAAAGTTTTCTTTTTATATTATAGCTTAAAGATGTCCTATGATATGAATGATTGTTCTTTCATAAGGTAATTGATGGAACAATCCCTTTATCAAAAAGTTATGTTTTGTAATATGCAAAGTGTCTTTAAAATATAGAAGTGTCTTAACGAAAGGGTTGTATCGTTAAAAGAAGAGACACTTGAAAATCTATAAAAAGGATTTGCTGTCAACCATTTTGACATAATAAAAATAAACAAAATAAAAGTAAAAAATTAAGAGTAAGAAAAGTGTTATGTTCTGAATAAAATTTAGAAAATAAATATAAACCCTTAAATTTCATCATCAATCAAAAAAGTATGAATTTTTTATAATCTACTTGTTATAGAAAGTAAGTTTAAGGCCAAACAACTTTGCAACCCTCAAGTGTATCTAGTGTCTACTTTCATAAGAGTAAGACTAAGTTAGATATTTGTTTCATTGTATCCCTAAAGCTATTCTCATTATTCCTTTTTGTATATCAAGTGATGGAAACTAAAGAAATCTTAAAAAATAATATTTATTAAGGCAAGTCTTAAAATCAATTTTGTCTGTTCTCTTTAGAAACCTCTTTTGCACCAACCAATTTAAATGTAGTAAATAATATTTTTTAAGATAAATGTCAAGTCAATATCATTGTTTATTTTAACATACGTAAATAAAAATGTAATAAAAAATTAAACTTTTTAAACATAATAATAAATATTTGTATAAATATAAATGATATTATAGTTTTATCTTTACTATATATTCAGTACTAGTATTTTTATGTGTGTTTTTTTAATATCTTTAGATCCTGTGTGACTTGATTTTTTTTTAGCTTAAAAGCTATTATGAAGTTCTTACTCAAAAAATAGCTTTTAAAATTAGGCTAAATGTTATTGGTAAATTTATTTTAACAAACTCTTTTTTATAAATAAGTTGTTTGCCAAAACAACTTATATAAACTCTAATTTTGATTAAAAGTACCATAAAAGATATTTAATAAATAATTTTTTATTAATCACAAATTCTTTTGTTCACAATGAAAAAATATTAACTTTATTTTTTTTATTTACAACAAATTTTTAGATTATAAAAA